TTTTGAGAGCTTGAAGGAGATATTTGACGGAGGTTCATAATCATGATAATTTTAAAGATTTTTAAGTAAAATTCAACAGGTAACCTTGGAGATCGGTTCTTGCAAAGGTGTACGCTGCACGATGCTTTGCTGCATGCATGAAATAAAACATTAAAAGGTAAAAAAAAAAAAAAAAAAAAAAAAAAAAAAAAAAAAAAAAAAAAAAAAAAAAAAAAAAAAAAAAAAAAAAAAAAAAAAAAAATGTCTGCTAGTCTTGAAAAATCGGTGGATAATACTTCCTAAAAGCTTGTGAAAAATCATTGAAGTTTATCTTCCTTACTTTTTAGATTTTGTAGTAGCAAATCGATATGATCCCTTGCAAGATTCTACTCGCAAAGATATATATACGGTTGAGTTTGACTCGAGATTCGTTTAAATCGTCTTTTTTATTAAGCTTTGTCAAGGACCTACTCTCTAGAATTCACACATTTTCAATGCGTTAATTCCATTTTGCGTGAATCAATCCGATCAATTTCATGCTAAAAATATTACAACATTTTTGGAAGTTCCGGCATTTTTGGAAGTTGATCTACGGCTTCTTTGCCGTGCTTCTTCGTCTTTATCCGAAGATAAAGAAGAAGAAGAAGAAGAAGAAGAAGCAGAAAAAGAAGAAGCAGAAGAAGAAGAAGAAGGAGCAGCAGCAGCAGAAGACGGGGAATGAACGAAGGCCACCATAGATGGTGTGCCATTTTGATTCGCTCGGCGCCGAGGTGACTTAAATGGGACCTGACTTCGAATACGACTTTCAAGTAGATCAGTTAAGTTGTAACTTTTTTCATTTACGTAACAAAGAATAAAAAAAAACCGGAACCATCAATTAAAACGCGTGAAAATTGAGTTAACCAAGCGTTTCAGTGTACCTAATAAAGTCAGCTCCGAACACCGGCGCGTTCGAAGAACTGAAGTCGGGCACTATCAAAAACTGCGTAATTGAAAAATGGCAGTTAAAGCCCACGGGAGGAATTTAATAAAAACAACGGCGCGGCGCAAGACAGGAGGGCTGATTACCAAGAATTTGTTGTTGTAGCGCTGAAACGCTGAAAAAGTGGATTACCCGGAGACAGGGACATAGTTCGAGGGTGATTATAAATTTATTATTTTTCAGCCCGTTTCGTTGGTTGTTGTTGATTCGACTGAACATTCCACAGAGACTTGCCATCCTGCGAACGAATCGATCCCAGTTAAAACAACGCATGTCCGCCACCGGACGAACCCTCGAATATACGCATTCGCACGCACCGCAGGGCTCATCGGCAAATCGACTTGCGTGATTTTTAACGACGGCCGATTCAAATTAGCTCGCGGTGACAGAGTGAGCGGATGAAAATTCAGTGTTCAAATTCTGATGATGAACCAGCGTTGCCACCCTCGTCAGAAAAGTCTCCGATTTCAAGCGGAAAATTCAACGTCTCGCGGTGTTTTGTGTGTAAACACATCAACGGCGTCGCGCGACGGAGGGTGGGTTTCCCTCTGATATTAACGTCGAAAATTAATCAATTTATTAGATGATCCTTTTACGCATCGCGGGGGGAGGGACAGAGAGAGAGCGGAAAAAAGTCCCGTGCAGTTCCCGGAAAAAGTGAGCGTACGACAACAAAAAAGGGACGCGTCCGCCGTGGAAAACACAACAAAATGCAAATCGACAAGTCGTTATTGGTAACACCTCCGCACGGAAACACGTAATCATGTTAGAATGAAAAAAAAGCGATACTAATTGCCGTGCGGAGTGCTGCGCGATAATTTAGCCAAGTGTCAAATGGACCGCTCTCCGATAAATAAACAAAACGGAGAGGAAACACAAAAAATTAGTCATATGATGTTCGGGAGGAGAGAGAGAGGAAAATAAAACAGGGACGGCGACGATTTTTCCCCGGAGCAACTTCACCTGATGAAGTTGACACCTACTTCAAAAACGAATAATTGATTTCATCTTCCGAGAGGCGAAGGCGCAAAAGCGCGGAACAATTATTTTGATTGAAATCCGCAAGGCTCTCGTCGCACAGTGGCTCGAGTCAATCAGAGAAGTCGGACTTAAAATTTTTGATTAAATTCGCAAATTTAGACGTTTCTTTCGTCACATTTTAAATTTTAAGGGGTGCTTTAAGCGGCAAAATTTCACGAGGAACCCAATGGAACCACTTTTAAAACCTCAAAATTTGGTATAAACGAAGTTATAAGCTGTTAAAGTTTATAAAGTTTGTTCGACCGCTACTATGGACTCACTATCACTGTGCGTCGCGTCTGCGAACGCTAAAAGCCCGGCGCGAAATCGTGGGTTGAGTTTAACCTTTTCCGCCTCACTCTTCCTTTTGAGGCGTGATTTAAAGGCGTCGGCTTTTTCGGATGAAAATATTATCACATCGAGACGGATGAGTTGAGTTGGCCCATCTCGTAAATATATTACAACGGAGCTATTTAAGGCGCAAGGCGGCGAGGATAGCACGTGAGAGCCGATAAACTCACAAAAAATTAATTTAAAGCCCCCGTGTGTTCCGGCAAAAATACTTTTATGATCAAATTTATCGGGTGTAAATTTAGGGACTGGAGAAACTTAATTAATAAACAAGTTTCTAGAAATAAGAGAGCGGGGTTGTCGGATATCGACTTCTCCATATACGTATTTTTAGAGGTATTATGATGTGCTTGAGACTAAAACTAAGTAAAAACGGAAACAAGGCGCTGATATAAATAACCTTGCAAAACTTTAAGTAATCATCCGACTTTCGTCACAAACGGCTTTCACGTTTTGAGTAATGAAATCTTAAAAATTTTGAATCTTGTACGCGAGCACGAACATGGTATTTAACAATTTTTTAGGGGGGAAACCGTATTCTTCAATATATTTGATGCGCAAAAGACTTGATCAGATCTGAGAAAAAAAATTTTGGAGGATATTTGTCTCCATCATTGCGCAATTCTTTGCCCGAATTTAGGTGAATTTTATATATGTTTTTAATATTTTCATTTCCTGACTCCCTTTGTGTCTGAGCGAAAGTTTTAAGCCGTAAAATGGCGGAAAAAGTGAATGAAGAGACGTACCAAGAATTGACAATATATTTTAGAGACCCTCTCACTCCGTTCCTACCTGTAGCTTAACAGTTTCTTTCGGGGGTCAATGCTTAGATTCACCTAGTGATGAAATTGATAAGTAAGAGTTGAGCGACGGGTTTAGCAATATTAACGTGATTTGCAAAAACTTTCGCCGCGAAGTTCTCATACCAACATTTATCAGTCATCATTAGGCGAATTTTAATTGATTATTTGCTCGACATGTTGCTCATCAATCATCACTACGCTAAACATAGTGTTGACCTCCGAAATTAACTTTTGCCTCGCCCGATTACATTGCTTCAATTAATTTTTAGTGCAGGGTCTCCAAAATATGTTGTTTCTGCTTCCAATGGGTGAACACAATTTTATCATGGGCTCGTTTGAAATAAAGTAGGTGATACGACCCGCTGCTGGAACGGAAACGCGCCGTGCCGCGCGCCGCAATGTTAATGTTAAGGCCTGGATACAACTATTCGACCTCTTAGGATGTCCATGTTGCCTACTTACATGATTGAAGGCGCGCTGGCTTTCGTACTACGAAATCACATTTCTGTTAATTGTTAGCTATCAGCTCTGTCTGAGTGGATCGGTCGTGCTGTTGAGAACAATTCGAACGTCAGTCAACCGACTGAGGATTTCTAAATATGAGACCGTCTACAGGAAAATTTTTATCATTAAATGAAAAGCGGCGTTGACCTCCGGACTTAACTCTGCCTCTGTCCCATTGAAGCCACATCAGCAATTCGCAAACTTAACTGGGCAATTTAATTTTTTACAAGAGAACGTTTGTGCGGATTCCAATGAAAATTTTAGGGAATTTGCTCCGCACTACGCAAAAAATTCATTGTTTGCACACAAATCCGCAAACACGTTTTCAAGTAAAAAATTCAATTGCCCGATTAAATTTGGCTTGAGTACCTTTATAGCGAGAGTATGGACAGATCGCTTCATGGAGGACTTAGGGGCCAAAAGTGCAGCCATTCTTCTATCAAACTTCTAACGCACAAAATTTCACTGCTAGTTTGGAGAGTCTGCAGGTTTCAATTCTAACCAAGATGGCCAATAATGTACATAAATGAGCGTTCTTCCGCAAAAATGAGTAAATTTATGCAAAAACTAAGTCAAATAAGTGCTTTGTAAACGACAATTCCTAATAATTGTATTAGTAAATCGCTCTGGATGATTGAAATTCATAGGCTGGCTGCATTTCTGGGCCCTAACTTAGTTCGCGGAGGCATCGGTGAAGGCCTGATGGATTTTCGGAGTTTCACATCTGTCTATACTCTCGCTAAATAGGTACTCTAAATTTGGCAATAGCTGATGTGGCTTCGTTCCTTTCTGCTTAACGCGGTCCAATTGTTTAAAAGTAAGTTTTGAATCCCTGAAAGTAAAATTGTCCACCTGCCATGCCGCCAAGAGGCTGGTGGAGGTTCTCTAGGGGTTGACTAGAGTCCCATACCCAGAGTTAAGACAACTCGATTATCAGCTGACTGGCAGCCGGCCTTGGCTGGCCATGGAGGCCGAAAAGAGTGCACCCAAACGAACGATATTGAGGGACAAGGATCAGGAATCCTGCGATGTCTATCACACAAAAACAACAACATCAACAAATTGATCAATTAGAAAGAAAATGAGATTGGTTTGTGAATAATTTCTTAATCTATTTTCATTTTGGACCGATGGAAATAACAATTTACTCTTGATAAACCACAATTAGGTAATATTTTCATTATTCTTGTTCACATTCGAGGTACCGCCATCTTGGTGCACTCGTTTCGGCCTCCATGAGCGAGAACCAATCAGAATTGGATTTCTTTTTAGGCCGCTTTCAGCCCAACCAAAAGTGAGTTGTCTTAACTCTGGGTATAAAGGGACTCTAGGGTTGACAAAAAAGTTGTTAGGGTACTCACTTGGATAGATGGTGAGGTTGGCGGTGACGCTGACGGGGTCGCCGACGCCGTTCTCTGCTATACACTCGTAGGAGGTGTTGTCGCGGCCGACGCGGACGGGGTAGATGCGGAGGACGGACATCCCCGGGGAGTCCTGGATCTGGTAGCGGGACTGGGTCTGGGCCATCCGCTTCCCGTTCTTCCGCCACTGGATGACCGGCTGCGGCCCCCCGGTCGCCGCGCAGTAGAACGCCGCCACGCTCTCCTCCTTCACCTGCTGGTTCCGCGGGCTCACCGTCACCTCCGGCGGATCTGGAAAATACCCAAGAAAAACACAAATTAGATATCAATTGCCGTAAGATGCACAGACTTTGTCTTCACGGGACATAATCATGAGATTTGATGCAGGCTCAGATGGAGAATTTCATGAAAAATAAGAAGTTGAAATTCCACGTGGATTTCGATATGTTTTCCCGTGAAATTTCGAAAAATTGCAATTCCAGGCTATTTTTCATGATGGAAAATTCAGATGGAAAATTTCATGAAAAATAAGAATTTGAAATTTCACGTGGAATGTCAACAAATTTTCCCGTGAAATTTCGATATATTGCAATGTCAGCATATTTTTCATGAAATTTTATAAATGTCTAGCAATTATATTGAAATTTTACAAGAAATTCAAGAGCGATCTCATGTTGCAGGGAAATGTCTAACTTCCGAAGTTAGGATAACTTGGGAAATGTCTAACTTCCGAAGTTAGGATAACTTGGGAAATGTCTAACTTCCGAAGTTAGGATAACTTTTGACTAACGCACTCGCAGCGCCAAGTAGGGTCCTTGTCAACCCTGGGACAAATCTCGCGAAAACGTCCCGTTCAGAGAAGGCCATAGATCGAACAGCTCACACTTGCTGCGGACTCATTCACACGTGACATTACTCAAGGGATTTTCTAGGAAGGGCTCATTTGATTTCTATATTTCCCAATTATTTGCGTTCCTCCTTGGTTTTTCCTGGATTCCCATGGGAAATGAAAACATATAATTTAGTTTTTAAATTCAGGTGCTTAAAGCTTTACATTTTCAACAGCCAGCATTCTCCGTTTTAATCGGTATGTTTCTTAAATTACATCTTCAAAGTCTCTTGCGGGTTTTTCCTGCTAGATGGAATTATCTGTGTTATCTAGGTTCTACCTGTTTCCTCAGCCACTACAAACCCTGCCATACATTTACATCGCGTTTGAGGAAGAATCCATAACAAAAAAAGGAAACAATATTTCAGCGATGGCTTATCATAGATGCTTAAGTGGGGTTGAATTCTTCAGAACCCCCCCCCCCCATTTCATTTTTGTCAAACATTACATTTACTGTATCACGCAAAACAAACGCGATCACTGACTGGTTCGATTTTATGTGACATAAAAGAAAATTTAAGAGATTCGATACATAGATTCAACACACACAAACAATCATAAGTAGGAGTAGAAATAATGTGCCGCATGAGAGCTGCTTCCTGCTTTTCCATTCCATACATTATAAGATTCGGTAAAGAGAATTAAAGATGAACACACAGCAGACCAAGAACCAAGAGCGGAACATATTAAACACAAGATGCAGAATTTGAATGAAATCAAAGTGAAATAAGGGAGCAAATACTGCTTCCCGGTGGCTACGTGTATGGATCTTTCTAAGTTCAGCGTTCCCAAAAGGCAGGTTTCAACAACGGGTATTGAAACTATATTTGCGCTTGAATCTGAAGTATCATTCCAAGTTTCATGAACATGCGTTTCGTTCATCAAAATCCGGAACTCATCCCGACCTAGTTTTAAAATGCGGACTGTAAACATCGGATAATCATAGTTCATAAAGAACACCAATTTCTCATGAAATTTCACAGAGACGTAGTCTACCTTAAAAATTATTGTTCTTTGAGTTTTCCCTTAAAATAGCTGATGGTTCAAGGCCTCCCATAAATAAAACTACATAATCCGAACAGTTTCCGCTTTTTGACACTTTCCCTGGTCCCCGGTGCTTCCACCCTGTGAAAAACCGAACAACTCCAAAGAATAATTTTCAAAGGGCGCGTCACTCTCAAAGATAAACCCGAACAAAGCTGCGCCAGAATTTACAGAGAGGAAGAAGAAGGAAGCAGGGCTCACATGGCCACTCGGAGTTTCTGACGCATACTTACGCGTTAGGTAAATGAACGGAAAGTCGGAAAAGTTGCCACCTGGAACATGAAAGACAAACAAATTCCCCGGGCATGAAACATGAGGCTTTACTCTCCGAAGTGGCTCAATGAGTAGGACAGGAAGAGGGGGCGGGGGGGGGGCGCTCCAAGACGCGCAGGGAGGGCCGGAGGGTACAGCCTTTATAGTTAGCAGTTATCAATCGATCGCTCTTGTAAATTTACATCACTAAACGCAAAGTTCAGGAGCGGCTCCTCTGCACCATCGCCAACCTGGACTTCCGGTATTGACTGCATGGCGGGTTGCCGGTTCGCGCCCCCCGCGGCGGGTTATGCGGCGGGTCGCGCGGGTTGCGTCTCGCGCCGCCATCCGGCGCCGCCGGATTTTTGACTGCAGTCGCGACAGTTCAACCGTGCGGTGGAGAAACGCAAACAGGGTCCGCGGCGAGGGGGGGCGAGGGGGGTCTCCGGGGGCCGCTCCAGGGCGACGCAATTAGGCGTGACTCCTGTTTGTTCGCCGGCGATCGAGCGTGTGTTGATGACGGATCTTCGGGGCAGGTTTGATATCATAACTTGAAAGAAAAAAGTGTTCGGGTGTCTACTAAAATTTGATTTTGGATTTTTTTGATAATCAGGGCGAGATTTCATGATTTTTCGCGCGAATGAATTTATACTTGTTTGATTTTTAAAAAAATCAACATTTTTGATGAGTTGAGTCTAATGTTTGAGAAAGGATCGAAGTGCTCAAAATTTCCTGACTTATGATTTGATATCATAACTTGAAAGAAAAAAGTGTTCGGGTGTCTACTAAAATTTGATTTTGGATTTTTTTGATAATCAGGGCGAGATTTCATGATTTTTCGCGCGAATGAATTTATACTTGTTTGATTTTTAAAAAAATCAACATTTTGGATGAGTTGAATCTAATGTTTGAAAAAGGATCGAAGTGCTCAGAATTTCCTGATTTATGACCGATTTTCCTGATATTTTTCTGATGGCATCGAATTTTTCTAATATTTTCCGGTTCTTACTGAGGTAAACACCTTGAAAAAGTACAATAAGATGAGAAACAAAGCTAAAACGCGGGAAACAAAACTACAAAAGGGTAAAAAAAAACATCCAAAACGATTCGGTCTGTTATTCGTCCATTATATCAATCGCAAATAAAAAAAAATTAAAAAAGTATAAAAATCAAACGGAAGCAGTGAAAAGCCTTGTGAAATGCTAATTCTTCTCCCAAACCCGGTCAATTTTGCGATGAAATCGAAGATTTGAACAACACATCCGTCGTGTTTTTGCAGCCGATGAATAAATAAGACAGTTGCATCATTGAATCTGTTCCAAGTCATTGAATTCGAACACATTCGATTGAAACAAAATCAGACAATTCTTTAACTTTTGTGAAAAGCCTTTCTGTAGCGTTCTCCCATCCCTGAACCCTCGAGAAATTTCCGTTTACGACGGGTAACAAATCCCCCCGAACTGTCATTGGCCGGCTTCCGATCCAATCGACTGCCGCTGATTGCGGTCGGGAAATTTTCGCAGGCCCTTGTAACACATGTTGCATAAATGCAGGCGCGCCTCGCGGTCAGGCAAGCCGGTCCGGCTACAATAAGGATACATGGAGCTTGTACGTCGATCAGCAAAAACAACTTATATCCCGTACAGTTTCCCATTCGGTTAGTCGGTTTTAGCGTAGCGGGGTCGTGTATGAGCGGAACTAAATTACCGCCCGAACGTCCGCAGGAACGGGAAGAGAAAATCGGACGGATGGAACTCGCGGAGGTGACCGCATCCGCGCGGCGGTGCCGGAAAAGCCCGGAAAAGCGCGGACCGCCCGGAAAAGTCCGGAAACGCCGGGAGCGGTTCGGTTTTTGTGCGAGCCGGCGGCCGGGCCGGGGCAAACAGCAACGAACTTAATTAAAACATTCGTCTGGTTACGAGTGGTTTCACTTTGGCCGAGTAATTGACGCCGACACATTTCATTTTGATAGAGAGTAACATCCCGCAGTGCCGCGCCGTAGCGATGGGAAATCGCCCGATTTCCCGTTGCGCGATGCTCTTTTCTCCCAGCGTATCCGATGGGAAGTGAATTCCAGGGTTTGGAAATAGATCGGAATAAGCTGAAAAAAGCCATTTTTGTTTGTTTGGGAACATCGGGATCTCGATGGCTGACCAAAGTGAGTTAACGACTTCGCTGTATCCTACGGTTTAAAATACGCAAGCTGATGATTTTAGTTTTTTTCGGATTCTGTTGGGGAGCGTTTCAATGACGCTGTGTAGAGAGATAGAGCAAATCTAACCTTAAAATTGCAAAAATAGCGAAGTTTTCAATTTGTTCTGCAAAATCGTCTGTTTGCGGGTAGGTGGTAATGTTCGTTAGCGATCGATTTGCTCCGGGTGGAGTGGATCTCAAGACAAGGTATGGATTTGAGAATTCTGATAGTAATTTCCCTTCAAAATTCCACTTGGAACACAATTTTCGCAAGGGTAAATCCTGAATTAAACTTCCAACCAAGATACTGATATACAGTATAAAATGGTAACGGATCTTCAGAGTGGATTTTACTAAGAGATTTAGCAACACTTCCTATACGACAACCTGTACGTCCTCATCGCTTTCGTAGGCTAATTGGTATAGGATTGAGTGAATATTTTATATTTTTTGCGCCTCGCTGCTTCGATTTCCTCCGTGTATGAAACGACAATAAATTATGAACCGCCTAGCAAAATTACATTTTCAAAACAGAAATTAAAAATCGTATCGATACCTTTACCTACGTTGAAAATACTGATCCGTGATGTGAAAAAAGGATCGAAAGTCTTCTTCTTTTTACTCTTTTCAAGTTGTGGATCGTCGAAAAGCTAATAAATCACTTCACAAATGGCTGTTGAATTATGTTGCTCACTCGTAAGTCACATCACGCTATTTTTTCCGGAGGAACTCTTCGGTTGCGCTTTTTCAATTAGAAGACTGAGAGCCATGCGGAAAAAGGTTATTAGTCACGGGTACTAGACTGGATAGATACGCTCTCCAGGAAGTCTAGTACCCATGATGCCAGTGCTAGAAGTCTAGTAGGGATACTCTCGTTCCTAGGATACGTATGTAGCTAAACTGACTAGTGCTTACTACCAGGTTTTTGAACTCGCACGCTTCGATCATAACCAGAGTTCTCATAATTTTTTCATCTTTGAATTCCCCGACTTTACACCTGGCATTTGGACAAAATGTCCACTTTCCTTTCTTTTTCAAATACGCTGACTTTTTTGCTAAAATTTGGACAGAATTATACCTTGTCTAGAGATAAAATTATGGAAAAAGGCATTCAGTAGCTGGTTAAGAGATAACAAGCCTTAAAAATGACCAAAAAGGGTAAAAAGTTGGAAGATCAGTAATATGTTGCAGGTATTAGTTAAATAGATGTATTAGAAATTCGCTGATCTTTCCCGGCCGTCGCAAATTCCCTGACTTTCACTGATACTGCCGGGTTTTCAGACCGCCGGGAACCTTGCACTGAAAAAAAATTTACGGCGTTTTTACCAAGGTCCGTTGCTACCTTTACCATCTCACTTTTTTACCAATTATTGGTAATTTTACCAAGATAGACCGGTAAGCTTACCTAAAATCCGGTATTTTTACTGTTTTTTTCAGGTAAGAATACCACTTTTATTGGTAATCAATTCCCGGTAACTTTGCCATTTTATCTCGGTAATTCTACCACAGTCGATAAAAAATATTGGCGTTTTTACCAAGGTCCAGTAAAGTTACCGAGAAAGTTCAATAATTTTACCTACCGAGATTTCTCGGTAAAATTACCAATTCCACAAATGGTAATTTTACCAAGAAAAAACTGGGATCAAATAGAACCCTGCATTCTTGGTAATTTTAATACCCTTTTCTTAGTAAAAACACCGAGATTTTTTTTTCAGTGTGATAACCTTCCCTTTCTTCGAAACAGAGAATATTTCATAGCACCGTCTCAGAGAGGCATATCAGCACCGAACGCTGTGTTTTCGGAAGAGGCTCAGGAAAAGGAGAAAAAAGGCACCAATAACAATATCAAATTTGCAGAGGTTTGCCACTGAAAGGGAAGGGCGCCGTATTCAAAGCGCAAGGGTTCAAAAGGTTATCTGTTCCGGCCGATAGGGAGAGCCCCTCGATAAATGGCGATCCGCGGTAATCCATCACGCGCTGTTTGCCAACTATGGACGTAATCTTGTTAAAAGAGCTAATGGTGTTTGTCAAAGAGAATTACCTCATCCTTGTATTCGGAAAAGGTGCGTCACATTCCCGGAAGGAATTCGATCGGATTACGCCACAAAATTTTAACACGGGACGTTGCCTCCTTGACCGGTTAGAAGATTCCACGACCGGTGGTTGGAGAAATTTAGTAAAATACGTGCTGAAAAATTGGACCACATTTAGCAATTAGAGACTACAACTTTTGGCTCATTTTAGAAACAAAAGAGATGCCATTGCATGCCGAAACGCATGTGCTGAAATGGAAAATGCGGCCCAGTGACGTTACGAGGCGGTACATTTTCACTTTTAAGTCTATTATACTGCAATTTCCCATATCGGAAAAAAATTATAAAAAAAACATCGTGAAGTCAGCTTATGAAGCGATAGTATTAGTAGGTAATGCAATTTGTTTATGGAAATTCTTCATCGTATAATAATTTGTAATGAAAGAGGCCTATAGACAAGGTATTAATTAAAGAATTACGCAAAATGTTTTCCCCTCAAAATTGTAAACGGAAACGAGGAACACCAAATACGAGAAGTCGGAAAATCAACTCTTTAACGAGATGTAAGATTTTACAATTTACAATAGTTAAATGGCAAGAGTGCAGATGTCGTGATTCGTACGATCCACTTTCTATTTGATCCGTGCTCAAAATCTTTGCTAACATTTCGTTCAGGATTTGATTTCCGGAATTACTGTTGTATGGTCCGTTTTCTACGTAAGATTTTATAAACAATTCACGTGACATTAATTTCCAGTTCAGACCATGGCTAGTGGTCCATCGCACACCTATTT